TACTACTACTACTACTACTAGTGCGACTACTACTACTACTACTGCTGCTGCTACTACTACTACTACTACTACTACTACTACTACTACTACTACTACTACACTACTACTACTACTACTACTACGACGACGACGACGACGACGACGACGACGACGACGACGACGACGACGACGACGACGACGACTAGTGGTCCTACTACGAATCGTAACACTACGACTACTACGACGACTACTGTTACGAGTGGCAGCGACTACTACGAACGACCACCACCACCACTAATCACTGATAACACCCCTCACCTCCTCGCCACGCCATTCCCCCTCACTCTCACCACCCGATCCCATCCCCCCCATCCTCCCCCATTTCATTGCCCCCCCTGCCAGGGCGGGAGAAGCTGGCGGGGAGGGGGGGAGGAGAGGTAGGGAGAAAAAAGAGGACGAGGAGACGGGGGAGAGAGGGGAGGGAGAACGCCAGGGCCAAGGCGCCCACCCCCGGCGGCCCCGCCGGGGAAGGGGGGGGCAAGACGACGGCAGACAGAGGACTAAACCATGCTGACGAGTCTCTCTGGGAGCATGCGGATCTGGAGACGACTGTATCGGGCGCCGCAGCCGTTCCAGGAGCCAGAAGACAAAAGCAGCATCAAGCACGAGCTTTGGGAGGCCCGCGCGGGTTTCCTGGATCGGCGCAGAACCCCCTCCCTGGCCAGCATCAGCCCAAGAAATCCGCGCAGACCACGTAAATTTCTGCCGGTTCTTCAGCGTCGGTTCCGGGGGCGCTCTGGTGCCTGATGTAGGGGGGTGGCCAGCGTCCCGGTGGAAGGCCCGCGGCTTCGCGTTGTGCAGGTGCGAGAGACCAGAGGCCGCGTCCAGGGCCACGCTGAGCCGCATGCGAGCCTGCGCCAGGCGCGCCCCGCGAGCACCGGCGGCTAGCAACGGGCCTCGGCGGCCCTCGGTGGCCCTCGGCGGCGGCGACCGCCGCAGCGGCGGCCCACCACGGCGGCCCAAGACGGCGGCGCCGACGGCGACGCCGACGGCAGCGGCGACGGCGGCGGCGACGGCGGCGGCGACGCCGCAAGGTGCTCCGAGGGCCTCACCGATCCACAGGCGGGCCTTTGCCCGGCGACGAGGACGGCGACGGCAGCAGGCGCGTCCAGGACGGCGCGGGGCCGCGAGCGGGCCCGGGCGGGCACTCCCTCCGGCCGATTGGCGCGACGGCTCCTGAGGAGGAGAGGCAGCAGCAGCAGCATCAGCACAGGCTGCAGCAGCCGCAGAGGCGGGGCGGGAGAGGGGAGAGAGGGAGAGGGAGGGGAGGGGGCGGGAGTGCGGGAGTTCAGCTGCAGCCGCAGCAAAGGGGGCGTGGGGATAGGTGGAGGTAGGTAGGGTCGTCGACGAACGGTGGCATGAGCCTGAGGCTGCGCTCAATCACAATGCTCGCAGAGAGACAGAGGCGGGCAGCGCGTCAAATATGTCATATCATATCGGGGAGAGAGAGGGAGGAGGGTGGCCTGCAGGAGCGGGCACGACCGAAGGACCGAGCAAAGTGCTGTGAAGACGATCGCAAGCCGAGGGTTCGCAGAGACCGAGAGGGACCGCTCCAGACGGCGGAGGCCTACGGGGACCTCTGGAGGCCTCTGGAGGCCTCCGAGGCCTCCAGAGCTCTCGCGACAGGGGGGCGCGGAGGAGTGGGGGGAGGGGAGGAGGACATGCTAGGTGCGCTCGCGTCAAATCTGACGTCCTACCCCTCCCGCCCATTCCTTACCATGGCGTAGATCTCCTCTGTATTCGCACAATCGGATGTCGTAGCATGGCATAGCACTACAAGGCATAGCATGGTGTCGAAGATCAACGCGTAGCATGACATAGCATGGCGTGGCGACACCCCAAGGAGGGGGGGGGACTTCCGCGGCCCAAAAAGTCAACGAATCGACACCGAATGTGAAATCACTTCCGATGGTTTCTTCAGGAAGCCATTTTCTAGATTTTGGAGCCTATTTGGAAAGACCGAGAACCATGCCGGGGCATGGCACTCGAAATTCGCCGGCCCAACGGGCCAGAGGCGTGCTAAGATCTCCAGTAACTGGTTAACAATAGTTCTAGCTCGCGCGCGCGGGGCGGCCCCCGGGGGTCCCCAGACGAAAAATACCCCGGCAAGGTCCCGGCAAGGTCCCGGGCGGTCCGACTCAGAGATGGTTTTCCTCTTGGGCGCTGCCTCTCAGGCCCCCGAGAGCGCGGCAAGAGGGCCCCTGGAGGCCCCCAAGACTGCCCAAGAGGCCCCCGAGACGCCCAAAGAGCGCTCCAAGTCGCCGAAGATGACCCCAAGACGGCCCAAGAGACCTCCAAGTGGCCTCCAAGAGGCCTCACAAGAGGGCCCGAGAGGCCAAAATCATAAATTCTACTATGGCTTTGGAAGGATTTGTCCTTGTCGCCTTTTCGACTTTCCGATGCTCCAAGACGGCCCAAGAGGCCCCCAAGAGCGCCTCAAGACGGGCCAAGAGGCTTCCAAGAGGGCCCCAAGAGGACTTGACGACGACTCTGTTTGGCACCAGAGCAACACAAGATGCCAACGAGACGCTTCCTCCTCCTCCCCGTCCTCTTCTTCCTCCTCCTCCTCCTCCTCCTCCTCCTCCTCCTCCTCCTCCTCCTCCTCCTACTTATCTTCATCCTCCTCCTCCTCTCCTTCTTATCCTCTACTCCTCCCCTCCCCTTCCCCATCCTCATCTTCCTCCTCCTCGGCGGCGCCAGTGGCCCCGAGCCCACGGCGAAGCAGTAGCGATCATGCAATATGGGCCGGCGGAATGAGCGAAGCTATTGAATAATGACGCCAGCGCTGCGGCGGGAGCACGATTCGGACCGAGCGGAAGCGCTGAAATGAGACCAACGCTGCAGTGGGAGCACGATTCGGAACGAGCGGTAGCCCAAAAATGAGGCCAGCGCTTCAGCGAGAGCAGCATTTTGAAAAAAACTCAGCGCGGAAGTGCGGAAATCATGGGGAGGGCTTCTGCGGCCCAAAAAATCAACGAATCGACACCGAATGTGTAATCACTTCGATGGTTTTTCTGGGGGGGGGGGGGGGGGGCGGGGGCATTTTATGGGTTTGGGGGCCGATTTGGAAGGACCGAGAACCGTGCCGTGGCATGGCGCTGGAAATAATGACGCCAGCGCTGCAGCGGGAGCACGATTCGGAACGAGCGGAAGCGCGGAAATTAGGCCAGCGCTGCAGCGGGAGCACGATTCGGAACGAGCGGTTGCCCGGAAACGAGTCCGGCGCTTCAGCGAGAGCAGCATTCTGTAAAAAAACAACACAAAAAAAAACAACTCCCTAGGATCTTGTGTCAAAAAAAACGTGCGCGGAGGGGGGCCAGACATTCCCCCGACGCCACCAGGGGAGAGAGGAGAGTGGTATTCATATTGTGTGATTGAAAAGAAGGAAGAGGAGAAGGAGGAGCAGGAGGAGGAGGAGGAGGACGAGGAGGAGGAGGGAGAGGGGGAGAGGCTATAAGAAGAGGAGGAGCAGGCGGAGGAGGAGGCGGGAGGAGGAGCAGGAGGAGGGAGGAAGGGAGGGCGCGGGTGCCAGGAGTGCCACGGGGCCAGTCCTCAAAAAGGCTGTCGGGGCGGTGGCCGGCGAGGGACCCGGGACCATGCGACCCCAACGCCCAGGGGTCCCCCGGAGTGACGGGGGTGGGGACCCACTCGGATGTCCCCGGGTTGTTCTTCTGGGATGGGGGAAGAGAGGCCGGGAGGGAGGGAAGGGGGGGAGGGAGGGAGCGGGGGGAGGGAGGGACGGAGGGCGGGAGGGCGGTAGCGGAGGGGGGAGGGAGGAGGGAGGCGGAGGGCGGGAGGGAAGGGGGGGCGGGAGGGAGGGAGGGGGGGAGGGAGGGAGGGAGGCGGGCGGGCGGGCGGGAGGGAGGGGGGCGGAGGTGGGGACCGACCCAGATGGCGGAGAGGGTGGGCTGACAGGTCCCCTGTGGCCCTCTGCCGAGGGCCAGCGCGCCAGGCGTGGACCGGTGGCCCCACGGTGCGTGGCGGCTCTCGTGGAGCCTCGACCCTGTGGGGCGCTGTCCCCCCTCCTCCTCCACCACCCCCACCCTCCTCCTCCTCCTCATCCTCCTTCTCCACCTCCACCTCCTCCACCTCCACCGCCACCTCCACCCCGACCGCCCACCCATCCTCCACCCTACACCCCCACCCCCCCCACCCCTCTCCACCCCCTTCCTCATAGATCGCCCCTCCCTGTCGCACCCCAAGGCGTGTCCGCAGGGCGGGCTGGGCACGTCGCCTCAGACATCCTCACCGTTTATGATCATGAAGCCCGAACTTTGCAACAGCTCCAAGGATGGAGGGCAGGTGGTTTTCACAATGTGGCTCTCGCCTTCGCGCCGCGCATCATCACTTTTAAAGTTTGCAGCAATTCCACGAATGGAGGGCGTCTCCTTTTCAATGCGTGGCTATCGCCTTATCGCCGCGCACAATCGTCTTCACAGTTTGCAACAGTTTCAAGGACTCGTAGGGTTGAAGTCCGAGGAACGGTGTTCTGGCAAGATTTACGGTTGTCAAGGCGCAACAGTCACCTTATTTCTCTATGCTGAAGGCCAAGAAATAGCGTTCTGGCACGATTTGGCATTGTCAGTGTCAGCTTGACTCGCGGCGTTGACTTTCCAGGAGTGGTGTTATGGCACGAATGGAAAGTTCTCAGAAGGTTCCCGCGATGAAAACGAATCATTGCAGGGACCAGTGAAGAGGGAACTTGGAAGGAGGGTTTATTGCGAAATCGTCGGTGCATCTTGGGTTAACCCTGGTCCTCGTCCTCCATTCCTTGTCCTCATAAACAGCTTCTCCCTGTCGCACCCCGAGGCCAGTTTTTAGGGCGGGCCCAGCGTTTCGCCTGAGACTTCCTCACCATCTATGACTCTGAAACTTAAAATTGGCAACAGCTTCACAGATGGAGGGCGGGTGGTTTTCAAAATGTGGCTCTCGCCTTAGCGCCGCGCACATTCGTTCTAACAAATTGCAAGAGCTTCACGGATGGAGGATAACCCGTTCTCAACATGCAGCTCTCGCCTTAGCGCCGCGCACATTCGCTCTGAAAAGTTGCAAGAGCTTCACGGATTGAGGATAATCCGTTTTCAAAATGTGAATCTCGCCTAAGCGCCGCGCACATTCGTTCTAAAAGAATTGCAAGTGTTTCACGGATTGAGGGCGGTTCCTTTTCAAAGTGTGGCTCTCGCCTTAGCGCCACGCACATTCGTGAAGAAAAATTGCAAGAGCTTCACGGATTCCCACGATCAACGTACCAGAAACTGCGTTTTGGAAGGATTCAAGGTTTTGCGGGGGCGCAGCAGTTACATTGATTCGCGGTGTTGGATTCCCAAGACTGGCGTTCTGGCACGATCCAGGATCGTCAAGACGCAACAGTCAGGTTGATCCGTGGCGTCGGAGTCCCAAGAACAATGTCTTGGCATGCTTCTGGGTCTTCAGGCGGTTGTCTTCCAACGAAGCAGATGCGTCAATGGAAATGAACCGTTGTAGGGGCCCGTGAAGAGGGAGCTTGGAGGGAGGGTGCATTCCAACATCGTTGATGGCTCCTGGGTTTACACTGGTCCTCCTCCTCCTCCTCCTCATCTTCCTCCACCTCCTCCTCCTCTTCTCCTCCTCCTCCTCCTCCTGCTCCTCCTCCCCCCTCCTGCTCCTCCTCCTCCTGTGCCTCCTCCTCCTCCCTGGGGGCGCCTGGAAGGGCTGCTTGCCCTGCTTGCTCTGCGAGATTCGCCTGGGGCTCGCCGCTGGAAGGGGGGGGACAGGGTGGTGGGAGCAGCAGCAACAGCAGCAGAGGCAGAGCAACAACGATCACCCCGCAGCCAACGAGCTTGCCGAACCACGGCACGTGGTCGATGCCTTTGCAATACGATCGGGGGGGCATCCAAAAGCCTAGCACACTGCAAGGCTGTGAATACCTTGTTGCATAAGCTGCGCGTTGCGAACAGCACAGCGTGTGAAACCTTCCGAGGGTTTCCTCATATCACGCTCGCAGCGGCCAGAGCACCGCCAAGACTACGATGAGTCAGATGAACCTGGCGCGACCCCAATTGTACCTTCATTCCCCATACAGTGCTTGCACTTAGGGGTTAAAGTTCTTCTCAAGGAACTAAGCTGGTATGACGTTCTGGCAGCTATGTTGTCGCCATCGCCGCAGCGTCGCCGCCTCGTCGCCGCCCGTCGTCTGAGCCAGTGTGGCAGTGTGGCGGCTATGTTGTCACCGTCACCGCCCCGTCGCCGCCTCGTCGCCGCCCGTCGTCTTGGCCGGTGTGGCTGTCTGACGGCTATGTTGTCGCCGTCGCCGCCCCGCTCGTCGCCGCCGTTTGATTACGCCACATAGATTGCACAACCTAGAGTGCAACTCATAGATTGGACCACATAGATCTCACCACATAGTTTTCACGACCTTGATTACAAAACATTGATCGTACAACCTATAGTGCTCAACATAAGTTGCACATTATAGATTGCACGACCTAGATTGCACAACCGATATTGCTCACCATATATTGCCCAACATAGATTGCAACATTTAGATTGCACAACAGTGATTGCACCACATGAATTGCGCAACAGAGGTTGCACAACATATGTTTCACAACCTGGATTGCAACACATAGATTGTACAACATATGTTGTTCCATATATGTACACCAGAACCACGCGCGCTTCGCGCGTCCTGTCTTGGGGCCGTCTTGAGGGCCTCTTGTGCCGTCTTCGCGGCCTCTTGGGCCGTCCGGGCGCTCTCTCGGGTTGCCTTCGGGCCGTCACGGGGACCCCTTGGGCTGTCTGGGTGCCGCCCTCGGGACCTCTTGGGCCGTCTTGAAGCCTCGCGAAGCAGAAAAAACAAGAGGGAGGCGGAGAGAGGAAGGCGTGAAGGAGAGACGAGAGAAAGGGAGGAGGGAAAATGAGGCAGCGGGGAGGAAGGAGGAGGAGAGAAAGGAGAAGGATGTGGAGGAGAGAAGGGAGAAGGATGTGGAGCGGGGGACGGAGGAAGGCCAGGAACGAGAAGAAGAAATCGAGGAGAACGGACAGCGAGGGATGGGGAAAACGGGATCGCACTCGCCTGGGAATGGAGAGAACGAAGGGGGAGGCAGACCTTGCGAAAAAAACATGACTTTAGGGAATTCGTTTTTTGGTCAAGCTGGGCCTGCTGCCACATGGTGGAGCAGGATGCCGGGCGAGGGCGGCGGAGGGGGGAAGGGGCGAGGGAGCGACGAGGACGAGGGATGGAGGAGACGGATGCGCACGAGGGGGGCGGAGAGAGGACGGCGCGAAGGGGAGACGAGGAGGAGGGAGGAGGGAAAAGGATACAGCGCGGAGGGGGGGGGGGGAGGAGAGGAAGGAGAAGGATGTGGAGCGGGAGACGCAAGAGAACCCGGAGCAAGAGAGAGAGAGAGAGCAGGGAGAGCGGACAGCGAGAGGGATGGGGAGAGGAAGGAGAAGAATGCGGAACGGGAGACGCATAAAGGA